ACGCAAATGCGGCAGACGGCAGGCAGCCGCCTGGGTTCATCGAGGACACTTTCGAGAATGCAGTGGGTTGTTTGTAATTTACCCTTTATTATTATTATTATTGTCTTTGACTGTTCTAAATCTTCGATCATGTTTTTTCTAACTTTAATTATTTGCTCACTATTTTTGATGACTATATGTAATAAGTATTTACATCATCTGTTTTGCATTACACTTCAAGCAATATTCTTGGTTTCTTTTAATCATTAGAATCAATGGAGATTTTTCAAATATATATATTTTTACAAAGTCTCAATCGCAAAAGGTCGATCTCTAAACAAGTCTCTAAAACAAGATACAGAAACTCGTTTTTTTTTTTTTTTTTTTTTTTTATATTCATGGATTTTCTTGAGTATATTGATGAGAACTAAATGCATATCCAACTAACAAAACCTATGACGACTGTCTTAATACCAAGTAGTATTGGTCAAGAAAAGCCCAATGGGAAGTGTTATTACAGAGTTTGAATTTTCTTGGGAACATATATATCTATCTATACATAAATAAATGTTAGTAGTAGCAGCAGCAGTAGAAACTCAACTACATGCATATATGCATTGTTATTGCCAAACACCCAACCACCAAACGGGTTTCAAGAACCATTTATTACTAATTCATGGGCATTTTTGTCATTTTCCCTCAACCATTGGAATAATTCACATATTAATTACTCTACTTTTAATTTGATGCATGTATGTGTATATCTGAATCTTTCTGTAGACAAGTAAAGAAGGTTGACCATGTAATTTTTTTTAATTTTTTTTAAATATCTGTAAACTTAATGCATGCTTAGTAGCTGAGTGTAGTGTGGCTTGGGGACCTAGCTAATTCACAGTGAGCCCATTTTTGGCAAGTTATGTTCGAATTGGATTTTGAATTCAACTTAATTGACCATCTATATTTTATTCTACTACTGCAGCTTTTATTAACCACAATGCAGGGAGCTTTAACCTAAGGTTTGATATATATTAAAAGAAAAAGAAAAAAAATTGAAAAAGGATTGGGTTCAAGGAATCAATGGCTTACATCACAGGGAGCAGCATTGGTATTTGGTGCTGGTAAACAGGAGCATTTTACAATACAGTACTCCTACTTGTTTTTACTGATTTTTCAATTCCCCCGGGCGTCTCGAATCGGATTTGTAGATGCTACGCCCGGTGAAATACAACGGATTATCTTAAACCATTGATCTACACATAATAACACACACGCGTATATGTACGTGTGCTTACTCGGTAGATATTTGTACAGATCCATAGTTTAAAATTACCAGGTTTGTTACATCATGTGTAGCATCTCATAGACCGTCTCGAAGATAAACAAGTCGGGCTACCCGAGAGATAGCTTCAAATATCTATTATGGTTTATCTACACACTAATATAGATTAATGCGACATATTTCACTCGATGTAACATGAAAAAAATTAGGTGGTAGAAAGGTAGTTCAGGTTATTTATTGCAACATTTGGGTCAAAGTGCAGGTCTATATATATAAAATACCAGCCAGGGAGAAACATAACTCATCTATATTATTAATTCAAATGCACACTAACCGATTTGGCATAAACCCTTTTGAAATAGTAGTTGTATTTTCGTGGAACCATCCATTTTTCTGATTCTGCAATAGAAAAATATAATGTATGGGCAGATTATAAATATAGCATATTGCCCTTTCCATCTTTGAATAACCACTTAATTCAACTACCAAAAGAAATTATCTTTTCTGCCAGCAATAAATAAAATGTGATGCAGCAAACTAAAACAACGGCAAAAAGGGGCAAAGGAAAACCAATTTTTGGTGCATATCCTAGGGATGTAAATGACCCGAGCCAGCTCGACAAAAGTTCGAACTCGAGCTTTCTGAGAAGCCGAGCCCGAGTTTATTCTTAGTTGTTTGTGAGCTCACGAGCTCATGGTTTTTTTTTTTATAATTTTAATTTAGTATTTTATTTTATTATAAATATAATTAATATAAAATTTAATAATAAATTCATATAAATAATTAAAATAAATTACAGCTCATTTTTTTATTTCATAACTTTTTGATTATAATTTATAATAATATTAATAAAACAGTAAATTAAAAACACAAAATTGGATAGGCTCAAGCTCGAGCTCGCGAAAACAGTCAAACTCGGTAGCATTCGATATTCAAATGACCTTTAATATTAAAAATCAAAGATGCATTATCATTTATTCAAAACCAGTAAGATTAGATAAGATTAGATTAGATGAATTGAATGTGTGTTAGATAGAGGACAAATCAAGAATTTCACAACCACAATAAAACTATAAATAGTAAAAAAAAAAACTAGAGACTATATAAATAAGGACCACTAATTTTTAAATTCAGATTTCAGAGTGATGTAAACAGGAGTTGGATTTTCCGGTAAATATAAATGAGTAAATGAGCCTCATCCGGTCATACTACCCCAGTCAGTCAGTCCCCACTAAAATTCCCTTTGACCATCAAATTAACAAACCCCACCAACCCAACCATGGTTAAAAACCCTAACCATTGAACCACACGTGTGGGAGATGAATGGGTGTGTGTGTGTGTGTGCATATAATAGTACAAATCCGTCAGAATATAAACGCAGAGAAATGTCCCTCTGTTCCTATTTCGTATATAACCCATCACTCCCCCAACAAAGTTAAAGAGAATTTGCAGTCTTCTCTGTTTTTAGTATTACTCTCTCTAGTTCTTGTCCCTCCAATTTTCTACATTCTCTCTCTCTCTCTCCTTTTTTTTTTCAAATTTTTAAAACACGTGCGGAGGGGAAAGAAGGAATTTAAAGGAGGGGGGAAGGTGTGAGTAGAAACATGCCTGGGAGTTTGGAGCCGTTGGATATCGGCGTGCACATACCGTACCATTTCCGGTGCCCGATTTCCTTAGAGCTGATGTGTGACCCGGTCACCGTTTGTACCGGTCAAACTTACGACCGCTCCAGCATAGAATCGTGGGTGGGTACCGGGAACACCACGTGTCCGGTTACCCGGGTCCCGCTCTCCGATTTCACCCTAATCCCGAACCACACGCTACGGCGGTTGATTCAGGAGTGGTGCGTTGCGAACCGTTCCTTCGGTGTTGAACGGATACCGACTCCGAAGCAACCTGCCGAACCGAATTTGGTTCGGACTTTGTTGAGTCAGGCTTCTTCCGGATCGGCTCCGTTTAGCCTGAGGGTTTCGGCTTTGAGGAGGCTGAGGGGGCTGGCGCGTGACTCGGATAAGAACCGGTCGGTTATTGCAGCTCTGAACGCGCGTGAGATTCTACTCTCCGTTGTTTTCGCGGATGTGGTTTCGCAGCCGTCGGAGTTGAATCTGGAGTCGATTGCGATTCTGTCGATGTTCACGCTCTCTGAACCGGAGTGCTTGTACGTGGCCTCCGATCCCGACCGGGTGTGTTACTTGGTGAATTTACTGTTCCATTCGTCGATCGACGTCCGTGTGAACTCGGCGGCGGTGATCGAGAATGTTGTGGCGGGGATACGGTCGCCGGAGTTTCGGACGCAAATCAGTTGCTCCGACGGGGTTTTCGAGGGAATCGTCGGGATTCTGAGCTATCCTGTGGCTTACAATAGGGCGCTGAAGGTCGGGATCAAGGCGTTGTTCGCTCTGTGTTTGGTGAAACAGCACCGGCACAAGGCGGTGGCGGCGGGGGCGGTGGAGGCGCTGATCGACAGGCTGGCGGAGTTCGAGAAGTGCGATGCGGAGCGGGCGCTGGCGACGGTGGAGCTGCTCTGCAGATTTCCGTCCGGCTGCGCGGCGTTTGCGTCGCACGCGCTGACGGTCCCGCTGCTGGTGAAGATAATACTGAAGA